TGAAAAAACAAACACACACACACACACACACATATATATATATATATATATATATATATTAGAGCTGTCAATCTATTAACATTTTTAATCTAATTAATTACACAGTGTGGCGATTAATTAATCACATATTAATCACACATCAAATTTGGCTGAGAAATTACCCACAAAAGATCATTTAAAGCCATTATTTTGTTACATGTGAAAAGCATGAAAAAGATATTACAAAAAGTAGCTTTAGAAAGATTTTTTTTTTTTCATTTATTTATTTAATTTTTCATTTTTGGATGAACTAGCCCTTTAATTACTTTTTTGGATGGATTTTTTTATTTTCAGTTTATATATATATATATATATATGTCTGTGTGTGTGTGTGTGTGTGTGTATGAGTGTATGAATATGAAATTATTTTTTTAATGAAATGATACTTTAAATAAGAAACTAAAACTGCCAGTAGGTGTATTAATGGGTAAAGCCGGGCTCACACTACAGGATTGAAAGACTAGCCGAATCACTGCTTACACTATGCAACATGATTTGTTCTCATCTGTCGTCGTCTTGTCTTAGCTGCGCGCATATTACACAACACAACGCTAACGAGGTGCGCACTACAAAACGTTCAGTGAAGAGGCGTTCCCGACCATCAGCGAAAATACGTTTTCTCATATAAATTCTCGCGAGAAATTACAGCGATTATAGGCCATTTCTTCAAGCATGGACGATCAACTGGCCCTTCAATTGGTCTGTGCAGTTATTTTATCCGAAAGAAAGAAGAAACCATGCTTAAATCTAATTTTGTTAAAAAAAATTATAATAATCAAATCGAATCGTGAAATCAAAATCGTGAATCGAATCGAATCGTGAGTTGAGTGAATCGTTACATCCCTACTCGATTCATTCGAAATGTGGATTCGTTCAGAAACTAATCACCACTGTGTTGTTCAAAGATGCACAACATTTCTGCTGTGGCTTTAATAGCTAATATTTGCATCTGCACAACTATATTGTAACTAAAACAAAAATATAAGACAAAAACTCATACAGGGGCATTTTTTGGCCCAGTATCTTGAATTTTAACTAAATGACAGTTTTACATCACTGAACACTAATTATGTGCGTTATTATAGTGAAGTTTGTGTTAGAAAACCCCACTAATGGTTCATGCTTTCAGGGTTAATGTTTGAACGTCTGCTTGTTTCTGAAAGGATTTTCTTCTCTAAACACTTCAGACTTTATGGAATCTGTGGCTCATTCCCGACGGTTTGTTTACTGGTTTTCACGCCCACTGTTTTCAGTCTGGTTTCAAACACTGGTTTGTAAACACCGAAATCTCCGAACACACTTGAAACTTCAGATTTGTTCCTTTTTTAGTGTTTCTTGAGTTGCTGTTCTCCACCTGAAACATTGCAGACTTGATATCTGACGTAGAACAGATGCTCCACAGCGATCAACCAGCCCATGACTCACTCAGGACATCATTAGTGTGTGTTAATGCACACGTCACACACATTACAGACGCTGAACGCCTCACACATATGCTGCTCTGCCTGGGGTTTCACTGGACCTGCATGCGACGGGTTAATAATGTGAGTCCATAATCCATAATAACTCTTCCTCCAGTGAAAAAGTGTTCTGGTGTGAATCAGGAGAGAAATCTGCACAGATCAAGCAGCGTTTAAACAGCTCTAAACACATATGTGGCTGGATTTTGATGTGAGAGACAACAGGAGATGCACTTTTTCACTGGAGGAAGCGTTATTATGGATTATGGACTCTATGTATTTTAGTTAAAAGCATCTTAATGCTGGATGTGTTTCAGCTTTTGTCTTCTCCAGATGTTCACTGATGGACTGGAGTGCTGTGGATTATTGTGATGTTTTTATCAGCGGTTTGGACTCTCGTTCTGACGGCACCCATTCACTTGCAGTGAGTCATTGATGCAGTTTCTCCAAACCTGATGAAGACACAAACTCATCCTGATCTCGGATGGCTTGGATACTTTTATGATTCTTTCTGTAGCTTGAGAGACACTTCTATGAACTTCTAAACTTCACTGAAAAGCTATCAAGCAAGTTTGGAACAAAATGCATGTGAATAAACACTGACAGCTGAATGTGCACCAATAAACCCCGTCAGAACATGTTTTATAATAATAGTTACCATATAATGGTTAAAAGTTACAGTGCATGATGGGAAGGTAAAAAGTGTTTGTTCAAACGACTCCATTTGGAAAAATATGTAAGTAGGAAGGAAGAAAGTACCGCTCAGGACGACTTCCTGTCTGATTGTTTGCTGCTTTCTCAGCTTATCGCCACGGAAACAGAAGAAACACTTCCTGTGCTGTAGAGCGATCCACTCGTCCACTACTGAGGGTCCCTAAGAAAGCAGCAGCAGGTTCCTGATGGGATTCAGTCTAGAAGCACTGCAGATATGATGTGATAAATCAAGCACACTTTCAGAAAAAAAGGTACAAAAGCCATCACAATATACTCAATATACTGCTTGCACTAAGTACAAAATAAAGTGATGTATATGTAATTATAAGCAGGAGGTCCTCTGGGTTTCCCCCACAGCCTCAGTTCTGTAACTAATCATTTTGAGTTATTAATACTGAACATGTAATTAGAACTATTGATGTTTTACGTAAAACCATTAAAAAACATTTTAATGAAATAAAAAATATTAAAAATTATTTTATTTAAGCTATTCCTGAACAAAATCAACAAATTCAAACCAAAATGAAAATATAAAAATAAAAGCAGATTCAAAATATTAAGAACAAACTATAATAATATCTCAATACTATAGTAACAGTGGTGGTAACATCATTAAAGTATGAATAGCAAAGTTCATTTGAGGTTAATTTTGAGATAACAAATTATTTACAGTACAGTCACAGTTTTTTGTTTTAATTTTATTATATGCAAATTAAAATAAAAAACACAAAGTGAAATGCTCTGCTGTCTACAGTGTGCACGAACCAACTTTAAATGGTTTAAATTACATTAGTATTTGTAAGATTTTTTTATTTTTTGTGATCCCATATTATTCCAGCACTTCTATAACTATATTTAGTCCCTCCTCTATGATCCATATTCGCTTGTGTTGGACTTCAGCGTCAGTTTTACGCTGACGTAATGCTCAAAGGCAACCCGGGACACGTGACTGAGCGCACTGGCGGGGGGAGCGCGGGAACACAGATTTATGAATGAACACATAAACTTCGCCTTAATCCCTCATGGCTTTCAGGTAAAGACGCTAGAGGAATATAAATCGCAAAAACTTTAATCTGCAATCATCTTGGACGCGGAAGGAAAGCCATATAACGGATACTTCCGTCTGGGTAATTACAAGCCACCCCCGCCGAGCTCATGGTACGGTCCACTCCGCCGCCAGCCCTGCTTTCATCCGCCGCCGCTCGTTTCTGGACCAGATGCGCGGATTCGGACCGGATTTTCACGCGTTACGGGAGTCACGGAAGAGCCATGCGCTCGCGACAGCCGGTCCGCGGAGACTGACGCGCGTTCTCCGTCTAAACCCCTCGCTTCTCGCCAGCGCTCGGTCTGTCTGAGAGACTTGCGCGGATTCCGACACCGGGAGCGGACCGGAGCGACGGACTGCCCGGTCCCATGTTGCAGCCGAACCAGCACGAACACGCCCGCTCAAAGGATCCGGTGAAATACGGCGAACTGGTGATTCTCGGGTGAGTGATTCGCGTTTACTACAGATCGACGTGTTTAAACGCGAGGGTTGCCAGGTTTCACAAAAACCCGCCCAATTGCTATTCAAAACCAGCCCATTCGCGTTTCCGGTGCAAAAACCGCGGACCTGGCAACACTGAGTTGAATCAAGCCAGTTATTGATGTATGGCATATTTACATTATTACTACTCATTATTTTATTGTTACTAACATCACTAGCGTCTCCATAAGTCATCGTGGTTGTGGTTAACCAGCGCATTAGTGTTCAGGAAGGAGGCAGAGGGAGTGAACCTGACAATAAAGCTATTAATAGTGTAGCAGTCACCGATATTTAAATTAAAAATATATTTAATGATATAAAATAAGACGTATAGGAAATTGAATGCTTTTTACACCGTATTTAATTAACGATATTCAACTAGCCAGAAGCAAACGTCCATAAATTGTAAAAAGACAAAAATGGCATATTTACATCACATTTACATTGTTACTATTATTATGTCTAATAAAGTTATTAATTATTACTAGTAGTTTTACAGAACGATATGGCCAATATTTACATGGAAACTTTTTTAATGCTAGAAAATGAGGCGTATAAGAAACTGAATGCTTATTTTAAACAGTATTTATTAAATTTAGGTATGATAATGAAAACCACACATGTACATTGTAGAAAAAATATATATTTTTCAAAATGGTAAATGGAGCAAAAATTATTGGAGTATGTTTAAAAAAAAATCAGTCTTTCAAAATTTCACATTTAATTCAATGTGTTGCAGTTTCTATGTAATTATTTGTAAAATGTACTTGCAGTTTCTGATGGAAAATGTAATGTTTAATTTATAAAGTTAACTATAATGAACTTTATAATTAACTATAAAGTTAATTAAAAAAATTATAAATTAAATAGATTAATACAATTTTGCAAGAATACACTATTTCAGTCTTTACTTCAAAATTTCACGTTTATAATAAATTGTGAAATTTAATAGCAAAAAAATAGTTACTTTTTTTTTTTATGTAGGCTAGATTCTGGAACATAAGCAGATAATCTCAAAGTGTTTACATTTATGCATTTAGCAGATGCTTTTATCCAAAGAGACTTAAAATAGAAGAATGGAAGCAATTCATCAAAAATGTCCATACTTAAAGGATCTTTATTGCCATTGATTCTTTCGTCCATTCCATGGTTCTTTTGGAACTTTTCACTGAAAAGAGGAACCAAAAATGGAATTGCTGTGAAAACACCCTTTTAAGAGTGGAACAATGTCAGCTTTGTTAGAAAGCTGGATTTTATTTGTTTTGATGAATCAGCCAATCAGGCGCCGATGTCGTCTGAACGACAGCCAGATGTTCTCGATTCACGGCTCAGTCTGATATATGAGTGTGTTATTAAGAGGAGCGTTTCCGCCCACATGTGTCTGTGTCAGATCAGGAAGTGCTTCTGCAGCGGCACGAACTCCTCTGATGTGCACACGCTTGAATCATGTTACTGCACATGTAATTAGAACATAATCTGCATTTCTCAAGGAACAATTCATCCAGCAGCACACATGATGGATTTTGTTGTATGTTGTTTTTGTGTTAATATTAATTAATAATGCCCCATGAGAACAGTTTAAAGAGAGAAACAGTCTATAAAATATTGTTAGTGTTGTTTGCTACAGCATGCATCTGTATTATTACTTTATTAGCTGATCAGATGCACCATAAAATGGATGTAAACGTCCCACAGATGCACAATGAAGGAACTGAAGCACATCTACACTCTTCAAAATAAAGCTGCTTCATGGTTCAGTGAAGAAACTTTAACATCCTTGGAACCTCATAAGGTTCTTTACAGTGAAAAACGTGATTAGATGTTAATGTTCTTAACACTAAGAAAAAAAAAACTGCACTCTTTAAAATAAAGGTTTCAAAATGTTTTTTTTCCGCAGTGATTCCATAGAAGAACCATTTTTGGTTTCCCAAAGAACCTTTCGGTGATCAGTTCTTAAAAGCCATGTTTTTTGAAGGTTTTAAACATCTAAAGAACCATTTCTGCAATGGAAAGATTCCATGGATGTTAAAGGTTCTGCATGGAACCATCGATGCCAATAAAGAAGCTTGTGTGATCACTGAAAGGTTCTTTAGGACCAAAAATGGATTGAAAACCCACTGGCAGAAAACCCACTTTTGAAACCTTAAACTTTAAGAGTGTAAAAAAAAGATTGAGTGTGCGTGCGAGTGAGTGTTTGTGTGCGTATGAGTGTGAGTATTTGTGTGCATGCGAGTGAGTGTTTGTGTGCGTATGAGTGTGTGAGTGAGTGTTTGTGTGAGTGTTTGTGTGCGTGCGAGTGAGTATTTGTGTGAGTGTGTGAGTGAGTGTGCGTGCGAGTGAGTGTTTGTGTGGGTATGAGTGTGCGAGTGAGTATTTGTGTGTGTGCGTGCGAGTGAGTGCGTGCGAGTGAGTGTGTGAGTGTTTGTGTGAGTGTTTGTGTGCGTGCGAGTGAGTATTTGTGTGAGTGTGTGAGTGAGTGTGCGTGCGAGTGAGTGTTTGTGTGGGTATGAGTGTGCAAGTGAGTATTTGTGTGTGTGCGTGCGAGTGAGTGTGTGAGTGTTTGTGTGAGTGTTTGTGTGCGTGCGAGTGAGTATTTGTGTGAGTGTGTGAGTGAGTGTGCGTGCGAGTGAGTGTTTGTGTGCGTATGAGTGTGAGTGTTTGTGTGCATGCGAGTGAGTGTTTGTGTGCATGTGAGAGTGTGAGTGTGCGTGCGAGTGAGTATTTGTGTGAGTGTGTGAGTGAGTGTGCGTGCGAGTGAGTGTTTGTGTGGAGCGTATGAGTGTTTGTGTGCATGCGAGTGAGTGTTTGTGTGCATGTGAGAGTGTGAGTGTGCGTGCGAGTGAGTATTTGTGTGAGTGTGTGTGCGAGTGAGTGTTTGTGTGCGTGTGTGAGTGAGTGTGCGTGCGAGTGAGTGTTTGTGTGCGAGTGAGTGTGCGTGCGAGTGAGTGTTTTGTGTGCGTGTGAGTGTTTGTGTGAGTGTGCGAGTGAGTGCGTGCGAGTGAGTGTTTTGTGTGCGTGTGAGTGTTTGTGTGAGTGTGCGAGTGAGTGCGTGCGAGTGAGTGTTTTGTGTGCGTGTGAGTGTTTGTGTGAGTGTGCGAGTGAGTGCGTGCGAGTGAGTGTTTTGTGTGCGTGTGAGTGTTTGTGTGAGTGTGCGAGTGAGTGCGTGCGAGTGAGTGTTTTGTGTGCGTGTGAGTGTTTGTGTGAGTGTGCGAGTGAGTGCGTGCGAGTGAGTGTTTTGTGTGCGTGTGAGTGTTTGTGTGAGTGTGCGAGTGAGTGCGTGCGAGTGAGTGTTTTGTGTGCGTGTGAGTGTTTGTGTGAGTGTGCGAGTGAGTGCGTGCGAGTGAGTGTTTTGTGTGCGTGTGAGTGTTTGTGTGAGTGTGCGAGTGAGTGCGTGCGAGTGAGTGTTTTGTGTGTGTGAGTGTTTGTGTGAGTGTGCGAGTGAGTGTTTGTGTGAGTGTGTGTGAGTGTTTGTGAGTGTGTGTGTGTGCGTGAGAGAGTGTGCGTGCGAGTGAGTGTTTGTGTGAGTGTGCGAGTGAGTGTGCGAGTGAGTGCGTGCGAGTGTTTTGTGTGAGTGTGCGAGTGAGTGTTTGTGTGAGTGTGCGAGTGAGTGAGTGAGTGAGTGAGCGCGTATGTGTGTGTGAGAGTGAGTGTGTGTATGTGTGTGTGTGTGTGTGTGTGCGCGAGTGTGTGTGTGAGAGTCAGTGAGTGAGTGAGTGTGTTTTGTGTGCGTGTGAGTGTTTGTGTGAGTGTGCGAGTGAGTGATTTGTGTGCGTGAGAGTGTTTGTGTGAGTGTGCCTGCGAGTGAGTGTGAGAGTGTTTGTGTGAGTGTGAGTGTGCGTGCGAGTGAGTGTTTGTGTGAGTGTTTTGTGTTTGTGTTTGCGAGTGTGTGTGTGTGTTGCATGCACTCATGTGAACACTATCTCTGCTGCGTTCTGTCTCTGTGTGTAGTGCTGAAGCTGCACTTTGAGTGCTGTAGATGCTGTCAGTGCGTCTGCAGCACTCGCTCCAGTTCACTGCTCTTCTGGACGCTTCGGCTTGTTTAACAGCAGAATCTATGCGCTGTATGAACATTCACCTGTGCATATGCACTAAAGTTTCTATAAATGAGCGCCAGTATGAGCCCAGCTGCGTCGTCCTCGTGCCGTTCAAACACACACACACCTGTGAGCGAGTGTGAACAAAAGCGCCTTTCTTCGGCCGCGCATACTGGATGCCGCATACTGAGCTTCTGTGTGACGCGCCGCCGTCTCCTGGACTTAATATGGACGTCACATGCATGTGATTTCCTCCCAATATCCTCAAATCTCTGGAGCTTTCAGCGGTTCTAGTCTGGCACATCGGTGTCTGAGAGTGTTTGATCTGTGTTCATTCTGCGCTCGGGTCAGAATCAGTGAATGTCAGCTGATTTATTAGAGTAAATCTGTTCATGACGACTCTTTATTCAATCATAATTGAGCAATCTGTCATTTCCTCACCCTCATGTTGTTCTTTTCTCTATAAAGCACAAACGGAGACGCTGCTGTTTTCCATGCCATCAGTGTGAAAAGACTTTGTTGAGCTCTGAAAAGCACCATAAAACTTCATATCAGAAGTTTAAATGACTGTTATTTAGTACCGGAGAGGGTAATAATACCCTAAAAATATTAAGAAAAAAAAAAGTGTATATATATGTAAAAAAATACATGCTGATGTGCATAAAATACAGCAAGATACAATTATGTTTGAAATAATTATGAAACAGTTATATTTGAAAAATGTTCAGGATTCTTTGATGAATAAAAAGTTAAAAAGAAGAGCATTTATTTAAAATAGAAATCTTTTCTAACAATATACTCTACAGTTCAAAAGTTTGGGGTCAGTAATATTTTTATTCTTTCTTCTTTTGAAAGAAATTAAAACTTTTATTCAGCAAGGATGTGTTAAATTGATAAGAAGTGATAGCAAAGATTTATATTACTCACTCACACACACACACACACACAAACACACACACAATCAGGGAAAAACAGTGTTAGTAAACATTAACACTTCCCACAGTTTAAAAATAGTTTTAGTAAACATTAAAATTTCCCACACATTACCAAAAAAATAAAAAGGGCTAAAACTATTAAAAACATTTTTGTAAATTGAAATAAAGCTGGAACTAAATCAAATACAAAACACTGAAAAATGTTTAAAAAAATTGTTTAAGCACTAAAATTACTACTAAAACTAAAACTGAAATAAAAACAAAGGTAACCATAGCTAAAAATAATCTAAAAACAAAAACTAATAAAAATGTCAAACGCACATAACAGAATCACTTAAAATTCAAATAACTGAAAATATACAAATTTACGCTAACTCAAAATATTAACAAAAACTAATAATAATGTGTAATGTGTGTGTAAATAATGTATAATAATACTGATAAAAATACTATTGAGAACATTTTTAAAAATGTATTTAACAAATATTTTTTAAAACATTTGATTGTGAATATTTTAAAAACTGTTCAAAAAAATTATTTTAATATTTATTAATTTGTATTTTCTTAAAGTTTGTTATTTATTTATGTATGTGGGTCAAAGACGAAAAAGGGTTTAAACATAAAAACAATACTGCTTTAAATTGTTGTTGTTTTTCCCAAAAATTAAAAAAAAAGTTTTCTGTTTAATGGAATTGTATTTTTGTTTTTGTGTTTCCGAGCAAAAAATAAATATCATACATTTTCCCCTGATTTACAGAAGACACCCACTCAAATGTCATTCAGTGTAACGATCCTGTCAGGCATATTTACAACAAAAATCTATTTATGACATATTAAAAGACTAATTACTTTCACCCCAAATACTAATTAGTTGTATTTTTTAATTTTTAAAATGTGCCACTATCCTAGCTTTTGCCCTTTTGTCAGTAAGAATGTTTTACTGACTTAAAACCCAATAAAATGTAATATGCTCACTTATTCTTTTATATATTTTAATATGCACAAGTCAGAATAAGCATGGTGTTTGAATTTTTACATAAATATAAATGTTACACTGAATGACAATGTAACATTATTTCAACCGAATTGTAACATTTTATTCTTCAAAAACTAATTTGAAACCTTAAAAGTAGACACTTTAACTTACATTTAATGTGCTCTCTATGGACATAAAATCACTTTTGTCAATTTCTTTTGATGCGGACATCTTAACGTCTTTGACCCATATATAATATAAATAAATATAGATATATTTTATGTATAATTATATTATACATAAATATTATTTTTTATTTTGTGTGTGTGTGCTTTCTAGAAGCTCAAACGGTGGAGCAATTCTCATGCATGAACTGATAAACAGTTACGCAGGGTACATTTATGCATGCGTGTAAATATAAACAGCCTTAGTTGAGAAACTGATGTTTTTGCACCTGCGTTTAACTGTGAAATTTGCGCATCTTCTCAATCAGATTTCATACGCACTGTCGAAACCCTGCAGACGTTTTTACGACCCTACGAGAAGAAAAACCAGCATTTCTGACACTCAAAACAATGTGTCTGACCGGGAAGGTAATAAAAAGGCAGCATGAAGTACACGGCTCCAGTGTGATATCTGTGTTCTGCAGATCGGCCGCTCCACCGAGAGCCCCATAGACTTCGTGGTGACCGACACGCCGGGAGCATCCCAGGAGAGCGAGGACTCGAGCTCGGCTCCCAGCACCATCTCCCGCTTCGCCTGCAGGATCGTCTGCGACCGAAACCCGCCCTACACCGCCCGCATCTACGCCGCCGGCTTCGACTCCTCCAAGAACATCTTCCTCGGGGTCAGTAGTGCTGTAAGGAATCGCTTTTCAGATGTTGAGACTGGAAAACTCCTTCAACAACCACGTAGCCACTAACGCGTTAATATTACTAAGTTGCAATGAAATGAGTGTAACAGATGTAGGGCGGGATTCTGTGCATCGGTTGTTGATTGGATGTAGAGATGTGGGCGGGGCTGTCTATGCAGATGAGCTTGAGTTTGAGGGGCGGAGCTTAAAAGATGAAATGTGACCTTGGAGCACAAAACCAGTCATAAGGGTCAATTTTCTGAAATTGAGATTTATGCATCATAAATAAATAAGCTTTCCATTGATGTATGGTTTGTTAGGATAGGACAATATTTGGCTGAAATACAACTGTTTGAAAATCTGGAATCTTGAGGGTGCAAAAAAATCTAAATATTGAGAAAATCATCTTTAAAGTTGTCCAAATGAAGTTCTTAGCAATGCATATTACTAATCAGAAATTAAGTTTTGATATATTTACGGTAGGACATTTATAAAATGTCTTCATGGAACATGATCTTTACTTAATATTCTAATGATTTTTGTCATAAAAGAAAAATGTATAATTTTGACCCATACAGTGTATTGTTGGCTATTGCTACAAATACTGCTTTTGTGCTTCAGGGTCACATATGATTGAGAAATCCTGAGAGAGATGACATTCTGATTATTGATGAGATTAATATCAATAAGATCTATAAGATGCATGCAACATGCAAAACAAATGTGGTTCATTATTATTTCATGCCGACTTTAATATTTAAGAAGTAGTTCATATTTTTACCGATGCATTTAGAGACGCGACTCAAAGAGGGTTTTTAACATGTCGTTCTTCACCTGTTAGACTGTCCAGCATCCTACAATACTAGTATAGAAGCTTGTTTACACCACAGGATAAAATAATACAAGCTGTATCTCACAATCCGGAGGAAAAAAAGTCCTCAAAAGTTCACAAAAAGATGTGAAATAAGAAGCCAAAATTACCTTTTTTTTTATAAAACTGGAATAAAACTGTATTGTGTGATATGAAATTAGAATTTTTGGGGAAAAAGTCACAATTACCTTTTTTAGTTTTTATTCAGAGTCGCGAGATTTTGAGAAGAAAAAAAAAGTCTGAATCGTGAGATTAAAAAGGATTTGTTTTTTATATTCTGTGGCAAACAAGCTTTCATAAATGAGTTCATCTCCTTTAAACGTTTTCATAAATGTAAATGTGACCCTGCAGCACAAAAGCAGTCTTAAGTCGCTGGGGTATATTTGTAGCAATAGCCAACAATACATTGTTATTCAGCTTTCAGATGATGCATAAATCTCAATTTCACAAAATGGACGCTTATGACTGTTTTTGTGCTCCAGGGTCACATATATACTGTCAGACAAAATTAAGAATGTCAGCTCACTATTTTCATATATTTTCTTGTGCTTTTTTGACATTTATGCATTAGGCAGTAATGAAGTGGCATTTGGGCTTCTTAACACAGACTGCTTAATGCAGCTCAGATGTGGCATGAATGCATTTACGCAGCAAATATATGCTTTGTAACGAGATTCTGAGCATGCATAGTTTCATCTAGGCGTTGCATTTTTACACTAAGTTTTAAGCAGGCACAGAGCAGCCTTTACGTTCAAGAAATACACTTCATCAGTTCATCATGCGACTAGTTGATTATGAAAATATGCCGCTTTGCTCATTGCTAACTGATGCATCTGTCGCGCAGGAGAAAGCAACTAAATGGAAGAATCCGGACGGTCACATGGACGGACTGACGACTAACGGCGTTCTGGTGATGCATCCTCTGGGTTTCCCGGAAGACCCCAAGCAGGGCCTGTGGAGAGAGATCTCTGTGTGCGGAGACGTCTACGCTCTCAGAGAGACCCGATCCGGATCCATCCGCGGCCAGCTGGTAAACACCACAACTAACACTAACATACAGATTCAGGGGTTGCTGTGAAAAGATGTTCCCCAGCGGAGCTTTAAATCCGGAGCGTTTCTGACCTCACCTATCGTAAGGTGTTGACCTAATAACAACCTCATCTACAGCACTCGGACTTAATTACTTTGTAAACCACACAAATGTTTGCCGTGATTTACAGCCAAAAGACCAGCGCTTTCGTTAAAGATCGGCAGTTCACTGAAATGACTGAAATGATTTTGGAGAAATAACCTGCTTAAATGAACATCCTGTCTTCAGGCTGCGTGACGTTTTCTGATAAAAATTAATTAATAATAAAACGAATACAATTTTAATGAAGAAAGTACATTTCCATTGGAAAAAAACTCAGGGTTTTGGCCAAACCTTTTGTGATTTATTCATCAATATGACTAATATTAACAATATTATTATATGAAAATATAAAATGTTGTACTATTTGATCATATTATTAGTAGTATTTAAGAAAATAATAATAATAATAAATGTATTTTATAGTTCAACTGTAATGAAGAAATTAAGTGATAAACATTAGTATAGTAATTTTACAGTTGTGCTTTAAAATACAATTATTATTATTATTTTCCTTATTTTTTTATTTCGCAATAAAATTGCTGTAGTAATATTTATTTTTTATTCAGCATTTTTGTTGTTGTTGTTATTATTATTATTATTATTATTATTACAACATGAAAATAATCATTTTCATTTTCAATGCACAGTTCAGCTGTAAATTTAAAAAAATGAAGACAGCCATGAGCATTAGTGTTGTAATTTTACAGTTGTGCTTTAAAATAAAATTATTAAATCATTTTTCCTAAATATTCAATTTAAATTTTACTGTGAAATACCACAATAGTAATATTTAATGTTTTTATTTAGTAGTATTGTTTTTGTGTTTTTGTTGTTGTTGTTGTTGTTGTTGTTATTATTGTTATTACAACATGAACATATTAAACCGAATAATAAATATTACTATTGTAATATTTCGTTAAGTTGGTATTTAAGTAAATATAATAATAATATTTTATTTCACAGTACAACCGGAAAAGAAAGAAATGAAGACAACCATAAATATTAGTATTGTAGTTTAACAGTTGAAATATAAAATAAAATTATTTTTCATAAATAGTCAAAAAATTTTTTTTACAATTTTACAGTGGAATTTTACAATAGATCTATTGTATTTTTTGTTTTGTTTTTTTGTATTTAGTAACTTTCTATTTATTTATTATATCATTTAATAAAGCAATAAACCCCGTGAAGCTGTGGTTTACAGTGAATTTATAACAGCTAAGAGGCGTTGTTAGGTACGACGCGAAGCGGAGCCTTAGCTGTTATAAAGTCACTGTAAACCACGGCTTCACGGGGCTTACTGCTTTTATAAAACGGTTATTCCATATACGTAGTAAGGTTTCACAGAATAAAACAGAGCAAATAAAGTGTAATGATATTAATAAAAACAGTATTCTTCCACCAAACAATGTAGCTCCTCAGAAACAGTTGTGGTTGCTACAAAGTGGTTGCCGAGCAACAGACAAACGTAAACAAAGGTGTATGTTACTTTGTAGAGTCATTTACAACAGCTTCGGCTCAGCCAATCAGGACCGGAACTATCCGCTTTATAATATTATTTTTATAGCAATATTGATGTAAAAAATCAGCCCTATTATCAAACCTGATTTTAAATCCTGATATTTTATGGGTGGTGTTGTGTTTGCAGGCGCAGGGTGAGAGCAGCGCTCTGCAGGACGGTTCTCTGGTGGATCTGTGTGGAGCGACGCTGCTCTGGCGAACAGCAGACGGTCTGCTGAAGGCCCCGACCCTGCGGCACCTGGATGCCCTGCGTCTGGAGCTGAACGCGGGGCGGCCGCAGTGTCCCGTGGGTCTGAGCACGCTGGCCTTCCCCAGCCTCCCGCGGAGCCACAGTCTGGAGGAGCGCCAGCCCTGGGCCTATCTGAGCTGCGGACACGTCCACGGCCGACACGACTGGGGCCAGCGGCCCGAGGGCCACCGCGAGCGCGAGGAGGGCCCCTGCGGCCGGAGGGAGTGTCCACTCTGCCGCACCGTGGGGCCGTACGTCCCGCTGTGGCTGGGGGCTGAGCCGGGCTTCTACACAGACGCCGGGGCCCCGACTCACGCCTTTGTGCCCTGCGGTCACGTGTGCTCGGAGAAGACGGGCCGGTACTGGGCCCTCACGCCGCTGCCTCACGGGACACACGCCTTCAGACCCACCTGCCCCTTCTGCTCGGCCCCGCTGGCCACCGGCCCCGGGGTCACACGCCTCATCTTCCAGGGCCCCATCGATTGATGAGGGGGCCGAACGAGGGGCCGAAAGGGGTCGCGAGTCTCACGAGGGGCTGTGTTAGAAATATCAACATCGTGCAGCTGCCTTCAAGTCACATCAGTGTCATTTATATCTTGATGGGTTAAGTGCGTGTTGACTGCAGTTAGCATAACAGAAGAGATCGTTCAGCCCAAAATCATCATATGTGAGCCTGGAGAATGCTAGTGTTTACTTCCCCATCAATCACTAATGCTAAAAAGCTCTCAGTGTTTATCAGGAGGATAGGCTCGAGTCACTAATTGTGATTTCTATCGGCAGCAATACAGTCCAGAGCTCGTCTGCTGAAGGCCCCTGATCACAGATGCATTTCGAAGCTCTGCAACAAAAAGACCAAAGCGAACTAAATGTGAGATTCCTGGCTCCTTTCGCCCCTCTACGGCCTCCAGCGCGCTCTCAGTACAGACCGAACCTCAACATCTCACACAGCACACACTAGAAAGTACAGAATCCTTTATTAAAGCGCTTGTTTTCAGCAATAAACACTAGAATGAAGCTACTAGAAGATGATGCCAGCGGTTCGAGCCGTGTACTTCCCTTGCTTTGGCTGAACCTGGCCTTCTTTAGCAGTCTAGCCCTTGTGATTCGGCTCGTTTTGTTGTTCTTTCAGTTTTAGATGATTCTTCTTCTGATTGTTTTAGCACTCAATGACAGTCGTAGCTGCAGTATATGCCGTAGTCGTTTGAAATTGTCAAGATGTCTTATTTTTCTACATGGCTGTGTTACTAAACTTTTGACCTGAGGTCTGATTGTTTTATATACGAGTGTTTCACATATAGCAGTATATAGATTATATATAACTATATATATATATTATTTTCTGTACATGATATGATTTGAAGAAAGAGTGCGTCACTGCACTCCTGGAAAATCTTTGATTGTTTCGCTTCTGAAAGTGCTTTATGGTAACTTTCGTCACAAACGATCACTTACACATTCAGAAAATGAGGAATGCTAATGATTATGTTATGCATATTAGTAAAAATTGTTGCAATTTGCTGTCACAACTTAATATTTAGTGTTAGAATAACTTTCCTGGATTTAACTTGAGATGACTTAAACTAAACTTAACATTTTAAAGGAACAGTTCACCTAAAAATGAGCGTGTGCTGAAAATGTGCTCACCCTCTGGTCATCCGAGATGAGTTTGTTTCTTCATCAGGTTTGGAGAAATTGCATCACTGTCTCACTGCAAGTGAATGGGTGCCGTCAGAATGAGAGTCCAAACTGATGGACTGGAGTGCTGTGGATTATTGTGATGTTTTTATCAGCTGTTTGGACTCTCATTCTGATACAGCTCATGAGACACTGATGCAATTTCTCCAAATCTGATGAAGAAACAAACTATAACTCATAAGTCTACAAACAAATCAACATCCGGAATGGTAAACGTTCAGCAAAATTTCATTTTTGGGTGAACTGCTTTAAATGAAAGTCTAGTCGATGGAAGCTATTTCTATAAAGCGTTTGCAGAAAAATGACACGGACTGGAATATGGATGAATAATCGTTACACGTATGCCTGCACACCTCACACTGTACATCTCTGAGCATTATAAGCTAAGCACTTGACAAAGCTCTGTATGGCAGGGTTTAGAGACAGAATAGCTCTACTTTACCTCACAAGCTGTAGAAGACACCTCAGTTTATGACCGTATTTTTTTAACAAGCCGATAAAGCGACCGTAAGCCGTTCGGATCGTATTTCACTCGTGTTCCCGTGACATTACGAGATGCGACGCATGCGTGATCGTTGGTTTTCTAGGACGCTAGAAACGGTGCTTCATTGCGCTTGCATTCTCAGATCTCTGCCTAAAAATGATTCGTCATGTACTCGTCTGAACCTGTACGCGTGGGACAAAAAAATGTATTAAAGGGACATTTGGTGAAGAATCTTGATGCAGCTCTTTTCCATGCAAAGACTTTTTAAAAACACATTTTATTAGAAAAAACCCATATGCACTATATTTGATGCTTTAAGTCACTATGCACTGAATCTTCGCTGAAACAAATCATAATGTGTGTCTCTGCAGCACAAAAGCAGTGTTAAGTCGCTGGGGTATATTTGTAGAAATAGCCAACAATACATTGTATGGGTCAAAATTATAGATTTCTCTTTGATGCCAAAAATCATTAGGATATTAAGTAAAGATCCTGTTCCATGAAGATATTTTGTAAGTTTCCTACCGTAAATATATCAGAACTTCATTTTTGATTAGTAATATGCATTGCTAAGAACTTCATTTGAACAACTTTAAAGATGATTTTCTCAATATTTAGATTTTTTTGCACCCTCAGATTCCAGATTTTCAAATAGTTGTATCTCAGCCAAATATTGTCCGATCCTAACAAACCATACATCAATGGAAAGATTATTTATTGTTTATGTATAAATCTCAATTTCACAAAATTGACCTTTATGACTGGTTTTGTGCTCCAGGGTCACATATTAAAAATGCTGCATTGACGTTTAACGTCATTAACACTAAAATGCCACTGATTCTAACAGTCGCCGCATAGAAAAGAGCTGCGTGACGATTGCATTCTGACATAATGCTGGTGTTTGCATGTTTAGGTGATCTCTAACTAGTTCTCTGAGACGGAGAAACGGGTCAGTGAAAGTCTGTTAGTTAGACATCACAACCTATGCTTCAAACGGAGGATCCGTGGCGTCTTGTAGCAGAAAATCCAACTCTGTGTCTGCGTCTTCCAAACGAATGCTGTTCCACTCATTCTCGACCTGGCGACGGGTCAGCTCAGGTTTACACTAGTCCACGTTTACAAGCATGGTTAGGACGGTCCAGCGGGAATGGCATCTCCAGTGCAAACTTGGTCAGTTCGGTGTTTTCGGTCGTGCTTTATATGAACTCTTGATCATTCGACTGTTCGGTTGTTGTCCGTTTTGTTCCTTTGGAATGAGATGTGAGGATGCTGCACCTTGTGTTTGACCCACTGAATAAACCTGGATGAAGACAACAGTCCTGACCTTTTGACCTTTGACCTTACCACTGCCACAATGCACTTAAACCTGTACGACTGGCTGCTTTCTCACAGCGGACCGAACCCAAATGATGCTTAAACCCAAGGTGCACTGAAAATCACAAATCATGACATGAATAAAAGTGATCTTTGCATACATTCAGACTGTTTCGGTGTAATTCTTTACATTTTGTGTTGAGGCCTTCATGTGTTCACTGTGCGACTCCAGTAAATGTGTTTTATATGTTTAGATATTTTTTGACTTTGGAAACTACACTTTTACTTGCACTTTTTTGTTTTGTTTTTAGAACTGTACTGCCTTAATGGTTTGGTGTTTTGTACTGCTTAAAAAAAAAAGAAGAAGAAAGAAATAAGAAAAAAAGAGTCGCGAACCCGTTCCGATCTGAATCAAATGATTCGCGATCCGATTGGAGCGCTTCGAAACTGAATCATTTTGTGAGGCAATGGTTTAACTGATTCAGAGTTTCTTAAAGCTCCGTTTCACCATCACTACGTGCTTTTTAAAATCATTACAAGTGATGTCGAAAGTCTAAAATTAATGGCTCTTTTGATCTGGTTTTTGCTAGTGAATCGCTTGAACTGAATGATCGAAGTCACGAGTTCGAATCAATCGAAACGGTTCCAGAGTAAATGACTCACTCAATTGAATCGGTTCATCTGTTTCTCTTTTCTCGTCTTCAGTCATGTTTACACGACACTGTCAGCTCTACTACTGGCTAAACTCGCTAGTTGTATGCCATTAACTGAAATAAGCGGAAAAAGTGTGATGTTTACAAATAAAAATTCCAAAGATAACATCCAACACAAATCTAGAACATATTCAGGTGAATTAATACTCAATTAATGTGACGAGCTGCAGCTCAAGATACATGTTAGATGGAAACATTGAGTTTGTGACTTAAGTGACTATATCTGAAATAGTTTGCACCAGGGCTGGACTTGGCCCTGGCATTTTTTGGTCCAGGCGGCCCACCACCACTTCGAGATATATATATATACACACACACTATACTAGTAAATTATTTTGAACAGTAAGATTTTTAATGTTTTTTAAAGAATTCTCTTCTGCTCACCAAGCCTGCATGTATTTGATCCAAAATACAGCAAAAGCAGTAATATTGTGAAATATTTTTACTATTTAAAATAACTGTTTTCCATTTGAATATATTTTAAAATGTAATTTATTCTGCGATTTCAAAGCTACATTTTTAGCATCATTACTCCAGTCACATGATCCTTCAGAAATCATTCAAATATTCTGATTTGCTGCTCAAAAAAACATTTATTATTATTATTATGATGTTGAAAACAGCTGAGTAGAATTGTTTCAGGTTTCTTTGATGGATAGAAAGTTCAGAAGAACAGCATTGATCTGAAATAGAATTTTTTTGTAACATTATAAATGTCTATCATCACTTTTGATCAATTTAAAGCATCCTTGCTAAATAAAAGTATTAATTTCTATAATTTCCCAAGGAAAAAAAATATACTGACTCCAAGCTTTTGAATGGTATATGTAGCCTATAATGTTACAAAAGCTTTTTATTTCAAATAAATGCTGATCTTTGGATCCTTCTTACTGTTCAAAAAAATGTTTGACTGGTAGTGTGTGTATGTATGTGTCACACCCGGGCGATAGTCAATGTAAAAAGAGCAGATGAACACAAAACAGCAGAACAACATCAAGTTAAAGAGGGTGAACTTTATCATTCAGTTGTTTGAAGCACTTCTGCTCTTATATGTTCTTCTCAGATAATATCAATGCTGTGACCTTTAGCAGATGCGCCGACATTACAACAACAGTGCTTACACGTATATTTAATCGTTTGATCAAAATTATTGCTAGGGACAATTTAGTAGCCTGTGGGTATTGGTAGGAACGTGTCAAAGCATCTCTACTAAACTCAGTGAATGTGTGAATCTGCACCAGTAGAGGCCGCTGTCGCTTTAAGAATCATTACTGACTGAAGAAGGTCAGGTGTGCGAGTTTAATTCTCCCAGGACCTTAAAAGTTTGACTTCTGTGAATTATTCTACATAGTTTATATATAGCTGTATATGTAGCAGAAGTAGGGTGGATTAGGGTAATGTGGGACAGTTTGTGCTCAAATCTGGGACACTCTGTTTTGGGTTAGAAATAATTTATTTTTTAAAAAGCACACCTCACATTTAACACTCCTGGTTAAAAGTGCATAGCTATGTTTGGTTATTTAATTTAGCAGGCATCATGGTCCGGGATCCCATTGTCCAATAGTCTCTCAATTTTGAATCTGGATCTTAAAACAAATCATATTGCTGCATTATAAGCCCAAAAAGTGAACAAAAATAAATGTATGGGATTTAACTTTCTTAATGCACATTTGATTAATTGAATAACATAGTATATTGACTGTCCCACATTACCCTGTTGAAAAAAACAGCATATGCTGGTTAGGTATGTTTTGATGCTGGTTTAAGTGTATTATATAAAGAGGTCACTAGTGCAGTATGGAGTACCTCAAGGCTCAGTACTAGGACCATTACTTTTACGCTTTACATGTTACCCTTGGGTGATATGATCAGGAAACACAGTGTTAGCTTTCACTGTTATGCTGATGATATTCGGCTCTATATTTCTTCGCGGCCCGGCGAAACACCAATTAGAAAAACAGACAGAATGCATAGTCGATATAAAAGAAACTGGATGAGTAATTTCTTACTAAATTCTGAAAAAACAGAGGTGTTAATTATCGGACCTAAAACCTCTGCATGTAATAACCTAGAACACTGTCTAACACTTGATGGCTGCTCTGTCAATTCTTCGTCATCAGTTAGGAACCTAGGTGTGCTATGTGATAGCAATCTTTCCTTTGAAAGCCACGTTTCGAACATTTTTCCATCTCAAAAATATATCTAAATTACAACCTATGCTCTCAATGTCAAATGCAGAAATGTTAATTCATGCATTCATGACCTCAAGATTAGATTATTGTAATGCTTTGTTGGGTGGTTGTTCTGCACGCTTAAACTCCAGCTGGTCCAAAATGAAGCAGCTAGAGTTCTTACTATAACGTTGGGTGGTTGTTCTGCACGCTTAAACTCCAGCTGGTCCAAAATGCAGCAGCTAGAGTTCTTACTATAACCAG